AGAGAGAAAGAAGAAGGAGACTGAGAGAGGATGAAGAGGAAAGAGACAGAGAGACAGAGAGAGAGAGAGAGAGAAAAAGAGGAGACGGACGGAGAGAGAGACGAGACAGAGAGAGAGAGAGGAGAAGAGAGCGAGAGACGAGAGAGAGAGAGAAGGAGAAAGGCGAGGATATACAGAAATAGAGATAGAGTAGAGAAAAAAAACTATTATAGTCTCATACAATACATTTATAGAGAAAGGATTTAAAAAGGGAGAGCAGAAAAAAAGGAAAAAAGAGGATAGAGGGCAATTAGATAGAAAGTAAGGTAGGTAGAAGAATATGTTTATAGTAGATAAATAATTAGATAGATAAATAGTGAGAATGAAACAAAGAGTAACTAACAAACAAACAAGAAAATAGAAAGAGAGACAAAAAAAGGACAAAGAAACAGCATATACAAACAGACGCAAAAATGGGAAATTCGTGGTTGTGCGGCCGGAGGGTCCGTCCAGCCTCCCCCCTCCCTTCCCTCCCTTCCCTCCCTTCTCCCTTTCCCTTCCCTTCCCAGTCCTTTTCTCCCCTCTCCTTTTCTCTCCATTATCCCCTCTCACTCTCCCTAAACCTCCTTCCCCCTTCCCTTCCCCTTTCCATTCCTTTACTGCTCCAATCCAGCCCTACCCCTCTCCCTAACCCCTAATCCTTCTCTCTTCCTTATCCTCTTCACTTCCCTCCCCTCTCCCTTACTCTCTTCCCTTTCCCTACCTCTACTCTCTTATCTCCTCAATCTCCCCTCTTCCCTTACCCTCTTCCCTCCCCGCCCCTCTCCCTACCCTCTTTACCTCCCCTCACCCTTACCCTCTTCCCTTCCTTTTCCTCTTCCCATTCCTTCCCTACCTCTCCCTTACCTTCTTCCCTACCCTCTCCTTACCCCCTACCCTTACCTTCTACCTCCCCTCACCCTTACCCTTCCCCTTCTCTCGCATTCCCCCCTCACCCCTTCCATCCCATCTCCCTCTCCCTTTCCCATCCCATTCCCCTCACCCCTTCCCCCCCCCCTGCCGAACTCTTATGGCAGCCTCCAGTTCCTCCAACAAAAAACTTTATCCTCAGCCAATGTCTAGATGCAGGTGGTGCTCAACTCGGCCCAACTTTCTCCTTTTTTTTTCTCTGTTATTATCTCTGTCACTGTTTTTTTCTCTCTCTCTCTCTTGTTTTTATCTGTTCTTTCTCTCATGTATGATTTTTTTTCTTTTGTGTTTATGTGTTTGCTTTTTTTTTTAATATGATGCCAATTTTTTTTCTTCTTTTGTGTTTATCATTTTTGCTTTTTTAATATGATGCAATTTTTTGTTTGTTTTTCTCTTCTCTCGTTTTGGCTTGTCTGTCAGCCTTGTCCTGCTTGTCTCTCTTTCTTCTCACTTTTCTTCTAGTCTTTGTTTAAACTATATATATTTTTTTCTCTATTTGCATTTGTTTCTTTTTTTCGTTTTTTCTCTCTCACTTTCCCTTCCTTTCGCCAATCACCTACACACACACACACACACACAGCACACAAACTCGAATACACACACACACACACACACAGATTCGCATTACATTTCCCAACAAAAAAACCGCAAAACAACAACAAAAACAATTAACCAACACCAAACAAACTGCTTAAAACAAACGGAAAAAAACAAAAATCAACAAAAACCCGAATTATTTCACACTCTGACTTACGACGCGCGCAACACCCCACCTCCCCACCCCCACCCCCGCCACCCCCCACCACCAACCCTGCCTCACCCCACCTCCCTGCTGCGCTTTTATATATCAAGTTGTCCCATGAACGCACAGCGATTCTCATGCACACAGCTTTTATTACTGTTGATTACTTGTGTTTTATGCCATTCATTACGCTCCTTGCAGTCGCTGTCCGATTCGACATTTGCTTGTACTGGACTTTGCAGCTTTATCTATTTTTATATAGCGTAATATACTTGTTTTATGTATGTGTGTGTTGTGTATGTATGTATTATGTATGTATGTATTTGTGTATGTATTATATAATATGTATATATATATATATAATATATATAATATATATAATATATATATTATATATAATATATATATATATATATATATATATATATATATATATATATATATATATATATATATATATATTATGTATTATGTATATATATATATGTATGTATATATGTATGTATGTGTTATGTGTGTATATGTGTGTGTATGTGTATGTGTATGTGTGTGTGTGTGTGTGTGTGTGTGTGTGTGTGGTGTGTGTGTGTGTGTGTGTGTGTGTGTGTGTGTGTGTGTGTGTGTGTGTGTGTGTGTGTGTGTGGTGTTGTACGTGTGCGTGTGTATATGTGTTGCGTGTGTTATATGTGCGTATGTGTGTGTGTGTGTGTGTTGTGTATGTGTGCACACAATCACACACACACACACGAAGACAGAAAGTACCATTCGAACGAAAGCGAAAACACGAAATTAGCAGCAGCGCGGTAATCAAATTTACAAAGTGTTGACTTTCGTGCGGAAAAGTGTTGGCGTTTCTTCTCCGTTTCGCTGCAGGAATACGAAAAAAAGGATTAAATATATGTGTTAGAAGACGATCTGGTTCTACGTCACGAATCCCCTTGCGATGGCTATGGTGGTTCTCCTTTCGAGGGACTCTGTTGTCCCTTCGAAGCACTAAAGTATGGCTCAACATATATGCCCATATATACTAATCTTACTGATATATTACTATATCTATATCTAATATCTCTCGTATTATCTTACTCTCTCTCTCTCTTAGATCTTAGTCTATGTCTCTGTTCATCGTCTCTTATCTGTTTGTGATCTGTATCTGCTGTCTATTACTATACTCATATATTTCACTATTAGATATCTATACATCCTATACTTACTCACGATACTATATATATTCATATATATTCACATATTAAATTATCATGTAATTATTATATATATAGTATTTAGGATCACTGCACTCAGATCAGTGATTACGATTTTTAGATGGGTCTTCTCGAATTAGTATTAGGCATATGGATCAGATAGTTATGA